ACGCACCCGTTCATACGTATATATATATATTATATGTTATTATATATATAATATATATATGTATATGTAAAGCAGTGTAGGTATCCTAACGAGAATTTAACTTGTTATAAAGTATTTTCCAACTAGTATGAACTCCAATCCAACTGTTGTTGACTGTTTTTTTTTCATGCAAGCAGATAATATTTTCTTACATGGGATGTTCTACGAAATGGCAATTGTCGGATTTTGGTCAGAAATAGTAAAGGCAGTTTCATACTAGTTCAAAACGGATATCTAACAGTCCAATTAAATGTGTATCCTCAAGAACTATATCAACTTAAATATTGTTCAAAATCTTCTAGATTTTATTGTAAAAACCTAATTCGCTGATGCATTGTACTATTCAAATTAGTATATTCCGTGACTAGTTTGATGTTTCACTGCTTGGTATATTGCCTTGGGTGCTATGTATACTCGTACATAAGTACAGCCCAGCCTGTTCCTGCTATGCATAAGTAAGCTTTGGGGAGGAGCGAACGCGGCCGGGTGTCACATCACGCGCGTCGAATTTCGAATATTTATACATAGCAGTCATGTCGAGGCACCATTTTGTGGTGCACGTGCTTCCTCAACTAGCAACTTGACGGCACTACCAGCGCGGCAACATCCATCCTATCGATCTCATGCAATGCGATACCCGCTCTCAACGACGTGATGACGGCCAACAAATGGCAGCGCCACCGCTCCATGAAAGTTGCATATGAGACTCTATGGGCGTCCTAAATGTTGGCCACGTTATTTAGACAAACCATGACAAAAAGGTTTCTGCAGTTGCCCTTGGCCACTTTGTTGTTTTTCGTTCCTTTCTCAACTTCATTATCATGTAGGCCACATAAACACGTATTTCCTTTTTACTTTTCTTTTATTATTCCATTGGTTTGGCCTTTAATCAAAGCTTGCAAGTAGAATCAACAACTAGTAGAACGTCAAAAGGTCAAGACTGAAACTATCGAAGTGAAGATGCCGTTAGTTAAGCTTTTTTTCGGAGATTAAGTTCTTTTTGTTTTCATCGGAAGCTTTAAACTTATGACTGAGCATCGATTTCACGTGTGTCCACCAGAAAATGACTTACAAGAGTTGATTTCCTTTTGTGAGTAACAAAGTCAAAATAAAGTGCCTGTATTTTTAGCAGTGCAAGCTGCCGGCCTCCGAGCAATACTGGCATATCGCAGGGAGCTTAAAACTAATTTTACGCCATCGAACAAGAGCTGTCAAGATCAACATAAGTGAGTTGCACTAATAATTGTGCTTTCCCTCAGAGCGACTTGTTATCGAACTCTACTCAATAGTTTGAACAACGAAAGACTGATAGAGTTGATGAAACAGAAAGAGAATAGTAGATCTAATATTTTCGAAGCTCTAAAGCAAAGCAGTTATTGTACTTTAAAAAGGCATGTGACTTTTATAAAGCGAGATGGCTGTTGTTCATATCATCTTAAAACTTTACTTTTAGTTAAAGCTCTTGGCTTTCCTGCTAGCTTTTAAAGCAGCTTTATTGCACTTTCCTTTATATTTTGTGTCGGTATTTTCTAGCTTTTTGAACAGACAATCATGTTTCCAATATTTAAATATTCGCGCCTCAAACAATTAAGTTCATTATTCAGCGTTTATTGCATTGCCGAATCTACGTGGCGTCAAAATGAAGTGGAAATATGAGAAACTGAAATTTACTGAAATTCGTTGCAAAAAGATGGAAAACGATTGTTAGTTCCTTTAAACAAAGTATTGCCGACAAGTATTATGAATTCTGCTGAAATTTATCGTCGCATTTTATTTACATGAAGCGCGAGTCTGTGTGGTATTAAAAACAATACTAAACTGATCCAATTATCTTTGAGTTGCCGTAAATCAAACAACTGCAAAACTTTGGTATGATGTTTTAGCGTCTTCATCCGCAAAGTACACAAGGAATAAATAAACAGCCAGTAGACCGGAAAACGAACGGTCGAACGAATGGACTGACGGATGCATGGACGGCCGCACGAATAGACCGGCGGATGGACAAACGCACGAACCGTTAGGTTGGATAGGCGGTTTCACGGCTTGCTGGCTGGTGGAATTCAAATGATTGTTTTCCCTACAATGTAGTCAGTCAATCGTACACGCATACACATGCAGATTTATGCAAATTCAATGATATTTACACGAGATTCTGTACAATTTCAGTTTGCACAAATGTGGAGTCGAGCCGAGCAAATTTTATACATTTATTCGACGAATTCTTTAACAACTAATACATACGTACATGCATAATGGATTTATGGCCGCACCCACTACCCACCGACACCGGCACGCACTTGCAGCTAAATGTATTTATATACCCGTACGTGTGTAAGTGTGCGTTCTGATTACTTTAGCCACCTAAATATGTGCATACGAATGCTTTTTGGATGCCAATGACGACAATGAAAACGACAGCTACGAGTACAACAACGATGACGAGGATGAGACATTTCTATTCACACGCCCGTAAGCGAATTTCGGCGAAAGTAAAAGCGGGAATATAATATTCCTGTAGGCACTTCACTTCACTCAAGGATGAGGTTAATACATTGGCACTACAACAAGTCGAGAATTCTGGCATGGCGCAGTTGATGAGCCATGCAGCGCACGTCCACAGCCGATTGCCCAGACGCGGCAAGGCAGTCTTTTGATGAGCTCGCTTTATTGGCGTAGCAGGTATAAAGATAAAATTATTGTCAACAAGGAAACACGAGTACTATAATTTCTTTAAGTAAATAAAAGCAACAATAATATTTTTGCTACTGTTTTCTGTGGCACGACAGTAAAAACAGCAATGCCATACACACACACTCGTAGACACTCATAGATTCAGATAGACTTAGGCACGCACTAAGGTAAATAGAAGTGGCAATAAGAAAAGCAACAACTCCCACGGTTGCCAACGGGCAATGTGCTCCATTTGCAATTGCTTGCCTTTTTGTGAGATTGTGCGACGTCACAGCCGTGGCAGCGTCTAAGGACATGTCACTTGTGGCGGTTATGTTGTGTTTCAGCTGAGACACACTAGAATTAAGCAACGAACGTATGGCGTGCCGAGTGGGTGTGAAAAGACGCAACAGCTGCGCTAATGGCAGGGGCGCCGTGCGCAGCGAAATTCGTGGGTTGGGTAAGTGGGCTGGACCCCATGCAGTTACGTTAACATCACATGCTCGTAAATACCTGAATACACATGCATGCAAACATACGCATAAATTTAAGCATTTTTGCATGTGCCCGTTAGTATTAGTATCTACAGATACATACATATATGCATATTAGGGTGGGTAAAATTTTTTTATTATTATTTTTCGCTTGGTATTCTGCAAAATATGTTCTTAAACACCGTTAAAAAAGTTGCACCTAGTATGAGCTCTTAATTGCTGTAGAACCTTCCGCCTTACAGTTTTCTTTTTTTTTCCTTATTATCAGATAGAAAAATTCAAATTTCACTTCTAACTACGTAAAAAAATATCTTTTTTGACCCACCCTAACATATAACATATGCATATACCCATATCTAAGTATATATGTATTTAGTCACTCTCCGTTGCATTGCGTCTATTTAATTAAATCTGAAGTTGGCACTAAAGTGTACAGAATTGTTTTGTCATCTGCAAATTGTAACAAGATGATATCCATAAAATGTACTGAGACTAGTATATATACATACTTATAGTACAAGCTTATGCACACATAGATCTAATATGCCTAGGCAGATTTGTTTTGCGTTCGTCTTTTCTTGTGTTTTCATATTTACTTACACGCTTGTATTATTTTACGTTTGTATCGAGAATATTTGTTTAAGAATTTAAACATTATTGTACACTTTGTGCATCACTTTATTTGCTAAAAGTTCGCATTTACAAAAAGATTTCTAAACAGCAGCAGATTGAGCGCAGTATGTAAATAAAATTATATACATTTTGTAGTCAATTCCATATAATGGCAGCATTTCGAATGATTCGGAGTGCTCGAATAGGTACTGGGATCCGTATATTCGGTGTTTGGCGACTAGAAAAGTTATAATTTGATTTCGACAATTTTCGAACGTGAAATCGTGCACGTTAAATACACATTATGGGCAAAGTTTAATTTCGATAACGTCATTGGCTCTCGATTTATATGCTGTGAAGTGAAAGAATCAATTGGAATTTAAAATTTTGATATATTGGAAGAAGACGTGGAAGAAGACAGTTTTACATTGTGATATAAGGACACAAATATAAGGTTACGTGCCAAGGAACATGTGGACCAAGCTCAATCTTAATTTTTACTCAAGCTATCACTTCCATGAACGGGCGGACGGGCGGACAGACGACTCGTCTCGTCATCCTACTTATTTATTTACATTATATATATGTACATATAACTGCATATATATATCGATTAGTTTTAGATGTTACAAACTACCGTTATATGAACAAAACGATTATACTCTGTAACAACATGTTGCGAGCGTATAAAAAACCAAGGTTACAACAAATTAAAAAACTTGTTGAAGACGAGGCAGGCCCCAATTTGGTATAAGAAAAATTAAATTAAGGGATTGTGGAATAAAATGCGAATATGAGACCCATAGATACAACTAACTACTGCGTAATTATATTTAGAACTTCCTTAACGACTATAGATATCGCGCCAGTGTTATTTCCACGATAACATAAAAATTTAACATTCGCTCGTTAGTCTGAATTTTGATGAGGAAGCATCATATTAGGCCATATTGTTTCACTTATTAATTGAATTCAACTATAAGCTAGAAGATGATGGAAAATTTTATCATAAAAGTTCAATAATCGGCGTTGGACTCTCCATTTACAATGCGAGCCTTAATATCGCGACAAAAACTACTACTGCCAGAAGGTGCATAACAAAAATATATATGTCTACATTTTGGCGCTATAACACTAAAATGTCGATTTCATAAATATACTATATGTAACAGTTAACAAGCGTAATTACAAGCCTATATGGCTGTTGTGTATATTTCACCTTTATTTGCAAATACTAAAAAAAGACATTACAATAAACAGTTAAATTGTGCATACGGCAGTTATACCACCGTCAATGGGCAGATTTGCTCCCGTTATAAAGCTGGAGCTGTCACCAGCAAGGAAAATAATAGCATCGGCCACTTCCTTTGCTTCACCGGCACGACCAAGTGGATGTGTTTCCTTAGAACGTAAGTAAAAGTCGTCAACTTCTTTCGGCGATAAACCACGACGTCTTTGAATATCGGTCACAATAACACCAGGATTAACCGAATTTACACGGACTTTTTTCGGCGCCAAATCTAAAGCGATACATCTAGTGAATTGATCCAGTGCTGCCTTCGACGCGCAATAGCTGGAAACATCACGTATCGAACGCAGACCAGCGATGCTAGAGACATTCACGATATTACCCTGGGTCTTGATCAAGTGTGGTGCAGCAAATTTAGTTAAAAGGAAGACGGCACGTAAATTTGTATTGAAAATACGATCAAATTGTTCGACATCAATATCCAAAATATTGCCAACTTCAAAAATGCCAGCATTATTGACCAAAACATCCAATTGTCCGAAGCGATCAATTGTAGAGTTTATAATGCGTTCCGCATCCACTGTGACATCAGCAACGATTGCTAAAAGTTCGGCTTTATTGTTCGCTGCTTTACAAACCGATTCAGCTGCCTTCAAATTGGGTTCATTTCGTCCAACCAGCACCACTTTGGAGCCTTGTTTAGCAAAAGCCTCCGCCGTCGTAGCACCAATGCCCGAACTTGCTCCTGTTACAATTACGACTTTGCCAACCAAACTCATTGCGATCTATTCGACTGCACGATGAAAGTGAAACTAAACTATAATATCGAACCAGCTTAGTATCAGTCACTAAAATGGAGAACTTTTTTGTTGTGTGCAGAGTTGCCGTTATAATTTAATTATAATTAAAATAGATAGAATTTTTACTTTTTTGTGTGTTGAAACGAAGAAGTTTGCATCAGTAAAACAAATTGAGTATAACTTAGAAATAATATGTTTACTTTTTATATTTATTTTAAAGAATTACTTAATTTACGAATTGTATTGAATTCTAATTGGAATAATAACAACCTTTGGTAAGTAAACATATTAAATACTGACAAGAGATAACTGACAAATATGTACGCTGTTCAATTATATTTAGAAATTGCTTAACGATTATAGATATCGTAGGTCGCCAGCCTAATCTCCTTTTGATAACTACCGTCAGCAAAAAAAAACGGAGTTATCTGTTTGAACCTTTTGTTTTTGTATTGACAATATTAATGAAACTTCGACTGAAAATTGTTGAATAAAATAACAAAAAAACGTTGACTTCGACTGCTTCGAAACATTAATACCTTTCACTGGTGCATTTCTTATATCAACTATATGTATAACTAAATTTGAAATCGCTGCATTCAACGGAAAACGTTTTGCTTTACACATTGTTCGATAAAAACGACGTTCAATTAGAGTAATGGTTACATAATAAGCAAAAAATATATTTAATCTATATTAATTGCAGATTAAATTCTTTATCTTCATTTTGTTCTGTAGTTTGAATGGGCGCTATAAGTAAATATATAGCAATCCGCTTTGAACAATTTATTCGGGTTTTTATCGTTAATAGTTTAAACTTTTAAAACTTTCTGACATTATATCTTTTTCTTTGACTGTTTGTCTCTCTCTCTCCTCTCCTCTTGTTTCTTAAAAACAAATAGTAGTTCCGAGTATTCCACGATAAATGCGCGAACGCATTATTTAAAAAAGATATTGTTGATAAGATAAAAGAAAGAAATGTGCGAAATATAAATAAATAAAATTCAAAATCACTTCAAGTTTTTAGCATAATGAACAATGTTGAATATGCAGGGTGTCCCAAAATTACGACAAGATTTAAATTAGCCGCCATTTATGTAGTAAAGTATTGACAACCCTAAAACAAGTCGGCAGCTGACAGTTTAGGCTTAGAAAAAATGAAGCGTTAGACGATAGAAAAACTTGCCTTCTTTATTGAATAAAAACATATGGGCTGAAATGACCGAGCCTCACACCTAGTTAGCGCTAGTTTTATTGAATTCATCTCATTTTCACCTACAAAAGACAGCTATTAAAATTTCATGACATTCTATTCATCACTTTGCGAGTTATTGAGCTAAAAGTGACGCTACTTTTGTTATTAAAAATAAAAATAATGATGATAAACAATTTCGTATTTTAATTTTACACTGCTTCTTGGTGGGAAAAAATACCGTTTAAGCAAAGCAATGACTTGAAAAGTGTTATGGGGCTTCTGCACTATCAGAAACCACAATAAAACGTTGGTTTGCTGACTTCAAACGGGGTCGTAGAGAAACCAATGATGTAAAACACAGTGGGCGTCCAAATGCGGCTGTAACACCAGAATATATTAAAAAAATTCACAAAACCATTCTGTATGATCGGAAAGTGAACTAACGTGATATAGCTGGCATCGCAAGTATTTCAAAAAAGCGTGTTGGCTTTATATTGCATGAGCATCTGTCCATGAGAAAGCTCTGTTCAAATTGGGTGCCACGTTTGCTGACTGTTGACCCAAAACAGCAACGTGTTGATGATTCTGAGCAGTGTTTGGCCATGTTTGAACGTAACAAACCGTAACTTTTTCTCGCTCCCAACGACTATTGGTTATTCGTGGACCTCAAATAAAATGCTCGCCAGTAAGAAATTTCACTCGCATAAAAAGATTATCACTAAAACGGATACCTATTTCGAGGTAAAATACAAATCCTTCTAAAAGCGGAAATTACAAACTTCAGCTTTATTATTATTTTACTTGGATAAAAATTGTGCAGTTCTTTCCATAGAAAGAAAAAAATTTAGGAGCTTAGAAGCAAAATTTTAAACTCTTAAACCATTTTCGAAAAAAATCTCAATATTAGTTTCAAACATATTCTAAATTTACTCAATTAGTAAAATTATATATGGATACATTACTAATTTGCTTAATCATAAACATATATGCTAGTCGTCAAGCAGCATTAAGCCATAACTAAAGAACAGTCTAGCAAAACCTGAAAACTATTCTATTCTATGTTATGAGGTAGTCTTTACTTCAAACAGTTTAGACTTGCCATTGATTATTTGGATTTTTATGATCATCATTGGCTTCATTTATACTTTTATAACAAATATCATAACAAATAATACTTCATTAGGAACAGTCTCTTAAAATAACAAAAAAAATTCGCAAATTCACACTTTATTGTTAGTTTTGGTGATTAATTCGCGAAAAATGACAAAGCAATGTCTTATGGCTCAAAATATATATTAATACTTGAAAATATTTCGCAACATGGTTGAACAGCTGGTGGCGCTTAGTTAATTTGCATAGAAATCCAATTTATAAGCGCAATATTGACAGCCGACTATTGTCTCAATGCGAATACACAATCATATTCCAAGTATTATGTCGCTAAGGTTGCAATTTAGCACAATATGCACTGAAGAAAAATCGCTGCAAATAAAAATGCATAAATTAACAATAAATTGCAGCATTTGAATGCACTCTGATAACATATTAATCTTTGACAATCGCACCAAGATCTGCAATTTGTATAAAAGTACGTGCGCTATGTAGAGAAAATCATTCCAAACTTCAACACTTCCGAGTCTTATCAGACACACGCTTAGCTTAGCGTCAAAAAATTACGGTTTTACACTATCCAATCTCAAGTATACATAAAAAAAGATGCGCGTCTTCATCGTACTGTGTTTATTCGCGTTTGCCTGTGCTGACAACTTGGGCTACAACTATCGTCCTGTGGGTCATTCGGACTCTGATCTCTCGTTTGGTCCACGTGGCAGTAGTGGTGGATTAGGTGGTTTAGGCAACAGCGGTGCAACCACACAAATATCACCTTCTTACTCGGCACCCGCCGCTGAATTTGACAAGGAGTTTTACACCTACAGCGCTGATGAAGAAGATTTCAATGAACCCGCCGGCAGCGAACAACTGGAAGCATCACTAAGGAAGAACCTGCGTGTTGTTTTCGTTAAGGGACCCGAAAATAACGGTTTGGAGAACGCCGCCATCAATCTTGCCAGACATGCTGCCGAACAGCAGACCGCCATTTATGTTCTACAAAAACAAGCCGACTTGGGTGATTTGGCCAACAAATTGCAGTCTCAACACGACTTTACAAATCATAAGCCCGAGGTGCAGTTCGTCAAGTACCGTACCCCAGAGGATGCTGCCAATGCTCAACGCGCCATTCAATCGCAATACGATCAATTGGGTGGCAACTCTCAGTCACATGATGGTGGCGTGGCTCCTGTTCACAACTTTGCTTCTGAGGCTACTCGTGAAGCGCCACGTATTGCAAGCGCACCCGGTGCTACCTACTTGCCCTCCTCGATTATTCGTGTTTAGTCGGTAAAGAGCGGAAAATATATATAGTTTTTCTGAAGGACTCCGAAATGTGATAAAACGATCGTCTTTGTTATGCCTTGTTGACTAATATGTAATAAAAAAATTTTAGATTCCGAAAAATAAGTAAAATTGTTAATAAATATTTGCTTTTATCAAGTCAAATTTAACGGACTTTTAGGCGCTTATACCTCTACTAGATACATATGTATATGTTCAAAGCCCACTTTTTACTTAGGTCGGTGTTTTATATTGGCCGACAAAAGTAGGATCCTGCAAGCCGACCACGAATGGTTGACTTCATAGAAAGCTCCCTCATAACAGTATGATGCTAGAAATTTAACCTCGACTTTTCGAGGGACTACCACAATTTCGAAGTTTCTTAGGTCAGCAATCGAATATGGTGATATCTTACTACTCCAAACACTAACAATTCACCAGACATAATAAAATATAATTTTATGTTTTTTTAACCATTTACATACATTTAATACTAACATCACATTTCCTGTAACAGGTGACTTTAATTATCGCTACAACTAGACTGTGCATTTATTTCTCATTCGCATTATCGAAATTACCACCATTCGCTCACAGACACTACTTCGTGGTCCTGTCACTTTTCATATGATTATGTCTTTTTCATTCAGCCAAAAAACAAAAATAAGTAAATAAATTAAACGAAATCGAAAAACAGCGCCACCTGATTGTTAGTACATCATAAATAATATGTGCGCGTAAGTATATAATGATATTAGGGTGGGTCGTACACTTGAAAAACCGTTATACAATGTTTTATAAGAAATATACTAATTCATCTTATTAAAAGAAAATTCCTTAATTTGACAATGTTAGAAATATATACATTTACACTGCTAATATATATTATATATATATCTCGAAATTTCTTCAGACAACTATTTTTTCTGCTCAATACCGTTGACAGCTGCCATAATCAGTTGTGTCAAATTCGAGAAAGTATATATGGTATACTTAGGTATTTATATATATAAATGATCAGCTAGTGCCTTATATATCGATTTGAAATTTTGCACATGTCTTTTTCTCCACAAGAAGCTGCTCATTCTTGTATGAAAATTTCTTTTAGTTAAAGAGATATCTGCACGAAAGTTAGCATAGATTATTGACCAAGGCAACTCTATAATATCCAAAGAATTTGTTCGGACCACTAAAGCGTATAGCTACCATGCAAACTGACTTGCCAAAATTAAGATGAAGATCTTCAATAAAATATTATTAAGTAGCCTTAATTCGACTTGAAGTTTTTCTATATCAAAAAATTAGGCTAGAAAAACTAGAAAAATGTTTTTCGTTGGTTGTCCACCGGAAGGCCGGTTACGTTTTTAGTAAAAAGTTAGTCATACTGATAGTTGCCATAAAAATGCAGGGTATTTTAGTTTAGTTTATAGCACAAAGTTTTTTTTTTTTTAATTAAAATATGAAATTGTCTACGTATGTACGGGAACAACCTAATACAGCGACACATACGCAAATACATATATATTCATATACATGTATTGAGTACACATTAAACATCTCATAAACTCCCCAACACCAGCACGGAGAGACCATCAAACTCATTTTCGACAAATTTTTCACAAAATCTAACCACCATTCGATAGAAGTCTGCATTTGCTTCGAACTGCTGTACGCAGTTACACCTAACTCCACACTCTCTTTTGTATTTTTACGAAAACTTTTATCCGGTGCGAAGACTTCGAGGGTGTGTCTGGTTGGGTAGTGTGTTAGACATGCACGTACGCATTGCCGCGTATTATTCACAGGTGCGCTCACCGTCGCTCCATACTTTCTCTCACAATCAATAATGTTACACGCGAGTGTAAATCTTTGACACCACTTATACATGTAACGGGAATAACCTACAAGTATATACCACCGCATCCACCTAGAAAGCTTTAAGGAAACTGTTGCTGCAGCTCCTTCCGCCACTTGATGCTCTTATCGCTGTCAGTTTTGTTAGACATTTGTACAACTGTAAATATGTATGAAATTACATTTGCGCATACTATACATACATATCAATGTGTGTATATGTGTATGTGTAGTGTCGTATACTCTCGAGTAGTTGCAAATATTTTCCCGGCATTGAGTTCTTGAGCATACTAATTTTTATTTTTCAGTCACGTAGCAAACGTGTTTGACAAAATATCATCTATTTAACATCGTAATGTGTCAAGACAGATGGCGCTGCCGTCGCCATTGCCGTTGCCATTTAAAACGTGCACTTACCGCTATTGAATGGAATACAAAGTGTTGGAGGTGTCGTGAAGGAACGAATGAATATTACTAAATGCCAGCATTAACCAACGAAAGTACCGTAATTACACAAAGCAAATGTTAAGTAGAAAATACCTATGTTGCTTCACTACACTCAAATAGGCATGTTGCATTACAAAAGCTTTTCAATATTACACACACATAAATATTTATGTTTATAAAGTAGTTGATTTATTGCTGCTGCAAATTTTACAGCTCTATGATGCAGTTGCAGCATACCGGTCTTTTTAAGACACCTATTTTATGTACATCAATAATAAACAATATCAATAAACCTTTAGCCATAACTTTGGCTAATATGGTTAAGATCCACAATCAAAGTGCCTTGAATACAAACCATGGAACGGATTTAACAATACAAGTACCTATATATAAAGCAGCCGAGTTTATAGGAAAGTAAATAAGAAGACTTGTTGTTTCGAACTCGTCATCTAGAATGAATTTTTCCCAGAAAACAGATTTGAATCTCCAACCAAAGTCTGATGCATTTTATTAACGACGAGATTTCTGTTAAATCGACTAAAGTTTCAGCCGATTAGGAGACGAACTGTTAAGCTAAAAATTTTGGCGATCGAATAGCCATTATTTAGTTACATTTTTGCAACTGTCCGGCCTAGCCCAGATAAACAAGTTACTATAACACATACTTGATGAGATATTACAAAAATTATACTTTATTCGATCCGGTATATGCGTTGTATTAGTATGTTTATTAAAGGTATTGTATTCATTGAGGGAATAGCTGTCAAAATTTGATAAATAAGTGGAGTACTTGCACACATCTCGTGAAAATAGTACTTTGTGAACATCTCCAAAAAACACATAATCCACAAGAGACTTTTCAATGTCCATTGTTTCCATATAAAGTTGCTGCCTTTAACAGCTTGTATGCCAAAGACATTTGTGGTTTCACACTTTCTAAAACTATAGATGAACTAACACTATTGGTAATGAAGAGCAAAAAGCAAATTTACGATCGTTTATAGTTCCCTAAAGTGGCTTCAGAACTAATTGGCAACTTAAATGGAACGAATTATTTGCGATATAAAGTCATGTTGTAAAGGTGGTGCAAAATTAGGCCGACAGATTGTCTTCAAAAGTCGAAGTCCCAGTGACTAAAATTTTGTTTTTGCCAGCTAATAAATCTAAAATATTTTCCATTTCGATATTTGTTCTGGTTTTATTTGAAATCAAACATCATCCATCAGCTGGTTACATTATCTATATTGCTATATCTCTAGGAACCCGTTTGACATTGGACACTGTACGTGTTAGGTTTTTTTTTAATTCATGGGCATTTTTTCTTTTTTCAGGAATCCTGAGTAACTCAATCAAACATTTAGATGAATTGACCAAATACCAAAATATTTTTTTATACATACATATATATATATATATATATAACACACACATATATGTATGTATAAAACAATATTTTGGTATTTGGTGTATATATATATGTTATAAATATATATATATATATATATGGAATTAAAGCAAGTACATTTTTGTGGTTTTGTCCTATTTGTTGGCCATAAACACTGACCAACACATAAAGTTTTTTGCATTTGTTATTGCTTCCTGCAAACGGTTTGTTCATAATGGGTATTTGTTGTTGTTTTTTCTTTAACCGTAACTGCAAGTGTTGCGGGCGTTATGTGAGTGCTTTATTGCTCCATGCGCCGTTATGGCCGAGTTATAAATTCGGCTTTTTTGTTGTTGCTGCAGCCCGTTATCTACGCGCTGCTCAATGTCAAACGACGAACGACAAAAATGGCCTAGGAAAAGTGCAAAACACATTAAAATGTGCCAGTGAACTAGCCGAGAGATCAGTTAACAGCCAAAATAGAGGCAGCTATCGAGCGACAGATATACTCGTAGATACATACATAGATGCTATAGAAGACGCATACATACATGTTACACTGTAACACGCCGAAAATGTTAAAAATTTTGGAGTTATACGAAGCCGCGGATTTAATGTCTTGCAAAGAAATGTGTTGCATTGTTGTTGACAATTTTTAAATTTATGTGGCAATATTACAGTACATGGTGACAGCAGTTATGCGGGAAGGAAAAGAAAAGAATTAAATAACTGAAATTAGTCCCGATCAAAACCAGTCAGTTCAGCAGGATTTTTTCTAGCAACCTTTAAAGAATCGTTGATACTTTAACAATGACGCAGAAAACCGAAAATTTCGAAAATTCAATATTGTTCGCAAGAAATTTTTTTCAGTTGTCAAAAATTAATCTGCCTAAAGTGGATGCTGTTATTATAGAAATTAAAAAAATTTTAAAAATCCAATTCAAATTTTTAATTACTTTTGAAACACCAATATTAAACCTTTGAATTCTGTTCTCATAATTTTTCAATGCTGAGTTTGGTTTTAAATTTAAAATACTTAGTTTCGTATGTGATCGCCATGAGAACCGGCGGAAAAGATATTCGGCTGGGAGGCAGATTTTTTTGCTTAAAAACTTAAATCCAAAAACCAAAAATGTATCATTACTTCAGATGAATGCAATAATAATCGAAGGGCTATTAAAGATTTTGATTTTTGACAAAATTGCAGCTTCACAAAAAAGTCGTTTTTTGTGAAAAATTTAAACTTCAAAAGGAAAAAGACAGAGTGAAGAAGAAAAAGTGGTTTAAAAAATTAAAATTCTTATTAAAAATATTATTCCTTCGATTATTACCTGAAAAAAATATATCCAAAGAAAGCGTGTGAAAACCTCACATCGACCA